ACACGATCTGGCCCCTGGCTACCTCCTTGGTAGTCCTCCATCCACTGCAGACACTCACCCAGAGCCCTTATAAATGCTACCTCTGCCTGGAATTGCTTATGGTAGGCTAAATAGTGGCCCTCCAAAGAGGGTCACTCCTAATCCCCAGAACCTGTGAATATGTTGCCTGACATGGTGGAAGGGACTTTGCAGGTGTGACTAAGGTAAGGATCTTGAGATGGGGAGATTATTTTGGATTATTGGGTGGGACCAATATAATCACAAGCGTCCTTCCAAGAGGGAAGCAGGAGAGTCAGAGACAGAGAGAGAGAGAGAGAGAGAGAGAGAGAGAGAGAGACATCTGAAAATACAGTGTTGCTGGCTTTAAGCAAAAGGATTCTCCGCTTCAAGCCTCTGGAGGAATCCAGTTGCTGACACCTTGATTTTAGCCAAATAAGACCCATTTTGGACTTCTGACCTTCAGAACTGTAAGATTACAAATGTGTGTTGTTTTAAGCCATTAAGTCTGTGGTAATTCATTACAGCAGCTATAGGACACTAATACACCCTTCCTCCAGATCCCTACTTACCCAGTTTTTTGTTATTCGGGCTCATCTGAAATGTCATCTCTTCAGAGAAACTGTCCTTGGCTACTCCAGCTAGCAAATATTTGTTGAATGAATAATCAAAAATGGAAATATACACTTGACCCCAATCAAGGTTGAAGCAAACTAACAGCCATGGGCTGAATTCAGCCTGCAGATATGTCTCATTTGGCTGGCACTGTGTTTGAAAACAATTTTGAGCCAACATTCATAAATTGGATAGTTTCACTCAAACATCTCAATCTCTAGAATCACATGGAACTTTCAGAAGTACCAGGCCCGTCAATCTGGGGTAAGAACCTCTACATCGCAGCAGCCTCCCAAGGCCTTTTCCCTGACTTATGTTTCCTGCTTGGCTCATGGGGGCCACTGAGTTAGCAACGTTGGTGTCTCAGTTAAGGATCCCCTAAAAGCAAATATGAAAATAGAACATATCAATGAGGAGATAGAAGATCCTATAAAGAACAACCAGATGGAAATGTTAGGACTAAAATATACAATAACCAAAGTAAAAGGCTCACTGGGTGGACTGAACAGCAGAATGGCTATGACAGAGGAAGAAGTCTGTGAACTTGAAGACAGATCAGTAAATATTCTCCAACCTGAACAGCAGAAAAGATTGGAGGAAAATTAACCAAGTCTCAGGGACCTGTGAGACAACAGCAGCTCTAAATTCATGTCTTTGGAGTCCCAGGAGAGGGGAGGGAATGTGGGGCTGAAAAAATATTTGAAGAATATTTTCTCGGGAAGCAGAGGTAAGAGACAGTGAGGCGGGAAAGGGGGTGAGCTGATAAAAGGTGCCCTAATGAGCTGGTTGTAGCTGTGTACACTGGGATCACTGGGGACCCTCCTAGAGAAGGTGTGGAATGTGCCTCTGAGTTGTACCATCAAGGGCTGGGGAAGCTGGTTGTCTACCCTCCCACTCCCACCCTTCATGAATATGGATTTCTCCTGGGAGCACTGACGGCCTGGCTATCAGCCTGCCCCACACCTGGCTCAGCAGGCTTCTCAGGGGAGTTAGGAAGTCACTGGTACCTTCAGGAGCCATCCATGTGACAGCTGAAGCTTCAGGGGACTTCATGGTGGACTGGGGGATATGGCTGGGTGTTATCAGTTGCCTATCACTGCATAAAAAATTGCCATACATTTAGTAGCTTAAACAGCACATATTTATGATCCCCTAGTTTCTGTGGGTCAGGAGGCCAGACGTGGCTTGGCTGAGTCCTCTACCCAGGGTTTACAAGACTATAGTCAAGGTGTTGGTCAGGCCGTGTTCTCATCTGGAGGCTCAACTGGAGAAGAATCTGCTTCCAAACTCATTCGAGTTGTTGGCAGAATTCATTCCCTTGAGACTGTGTGATAGAGGCTGTCACCCTCAAAGGGTGAACACTTGCATCTCCCAGAGGCTGCCCATAGCTCCCTGCCAAGTGGGTTTACTCAACACAGCTGCCTACTTTATCAGGCCAGCTCTAGCCGGCTGAGACAGAGTCTTAGGTAATGTAACCTGATAGAAGGAGCAACACCCAACACCTTCCTAATATTCCACTGGTTAGAAGCAAGTCACAGGTGCCATCTACACTGAAGGCATGGGTAGTCACACAAAGGCACGGACACCAGGAGTTGGGAATCACTGGGGTCACCTTAGGGTCTTCCCTGCACAGTAGGGCACTGACAGCCTTGGTGTGGGTTGGGTGGCCTTCAGTGCTGTGCAGACAGGCCTGGGCATTGGACCCATGCTTGGCTCTGGCTGTTCCACTTCCAGCTGCTACACAATGGGCTGCTGTGGTTACAGGGCCCTGGGGGTTTCCTGGGAGCAGGTCTGGGGGCCGCCCAGAGGTCTTCTTTCACTCTTCCATTGCTGGCCCCCTCCCAACTTCACTATGTGACCTCAGGCAGCTTGCTTGAGCCCTCTGTGCCTTAGTGTTCTCAGCTACAAAAAGAAGTTCATAGTAACCCCAGCCTCATGGGTGGCTGTGAGGACATAACGTTTGCAAAGGGTGTGCATTCTGACCATGCTAGGAGACCCCCAAATGTTTGCTATTATTGTCATTATTCTCTGCTTCTGCTTCCCAATGGACCCCCTTTAGTTCTCCATGAACATTTCCCCTTTCTGCAGGAATCTTTGCATCTCTGGGCACCACATGAAGCCTTAGGTGTTTTGGCAATGGTGTCTGGGATGCGAGGGGTGAGTGCTTCCCTCTCCTCGGGGGCAGAAGTTCTGGGAGTTTCAGATCTGTCTTGTTGTTGCTTCACAGTGGAATAGCAGGGCCATGAATTTTACAAGGCATTAATATTTTAGGTCTGACACTTGCACCCTGCTAAATAGTGTATAACATTTTTGGGAACAGCTGGGACTGGTGATACCCACAGGTCAGCTGGGCCAGGCCTGATGCCTTGTCCCAGTGGAGGGGCCTGTCTCCCCTTTCTGGGGTGTCCGAGGGAGCTCTCGCCACTGCAAGAGCCAGGAAGGGTGATGCGTGTCTGCTGCCTGGGCCACCACTCTGGTGGCACCTCTAACTTGGGGAGCTATGGCGAGGCCTGGAGGCCCTAGGCACCACTGAGGCAAGGTGGGAGCAACGGACGGGCAAGGCAGCAGCCCAGTGCAGATCTGGGGGGTCTGAGGGTGACCCGCTCCCATCCCCCGTCCCCGCCCTCGTCCTTGGGAGAGCAGTGAGTAAAGTGGCTACAATTTACACACCCAGAGACTCTCCCCAAAATGGCCTCATCACACCCCTCCCTTCCTCCCGGTGAAGAGCACGAGGCTTGAGCCAGGCAACCTGGGTTTGAACTGGCTCCCCGCCCCCCATCCAATGACTAGACAGGTAGTCTAGCCTCAGTTTCCTCATCTGTGGCATGGGGATTGCGAATGAGTTCACAGGGAGAGGTCAGTCACCCTTGGCTGTGGCCCCGGGTCTGTTTTGGTCCACACACGTTCAGAGTGGGAGGTGTGGGTGGGCCCAGGGCAGGAGCTACGGGAGGACAGATGAGGCGATGAAGGCGCAGGGGGCCAGGTCTCCTGGGCCCCGAGGGCTCGCTTTATTTCACCAGCAACACCTGGTTTCTCTTCCTGCCCCGGGAAGGGTGGAAGAGTTTGAGCAGCGCCCCAAGCAGGCCCAGGACTGTGCCCGCTAGCAGCAGCAGCCTCAGCCCCTTGAGGACGGAGCCAGCCTTTCCTCTCTGGGCCTCCTCTTCCTCCGGCTGTTGTCCAAAGTCTTCTGTGCTCAGAGACGCCGGTATATCCAGATCGGACTTGGGGTTGAATTGAGCCGAGAGCTCCTGCTGCACAAAGCATTTATAAGTGGCTGGCTGGAAGACCTGCAGCCGATTGCCACCGTTGGAGGTGTCCAGGACGGTGCTGACAGCCTGGCCCGAGAGCTGGTCCTTCCAGGTCAGTGGGAGGTTGTCGGCTTCCCAGATGATGGGCCTGCAAAGGAGGACAAGGTCAGCTGCAGTGCCCCAGAGAGAAAGGGGGGACCGATGTCTGAAAAGAGGTGGAGACGGCAGCACCCTTCTCCCTTCTCCCTGGGAACAGCAAACAGAGCACCCCCTCCAGGGAGAGAGACCCAGCAGCGAGTAAGGGGAGGATGGGGGCTGGAAGGCTGGGAGCTCTCAGAGCCCTGCCCCTTACTGCCCCGGCCATTTGGCCAAATGCCTATATAGCTCTTTGAGCCTCCATTTGAAGGCTCAAAGATACCTGGGGGTGTCATGACTGCCACAACCTCCGAGGGTTATTTGGAGGAGTTAGCAAGGACACTCCCTAATTGATGCGTGCCCCCCTTTACCTGCCTGGCCCCATTTCCTCTGCTCTCCCTCATTCACTCTGCCCCAGCCACACCTCCTAGAGGTTCCTCTGACATGCTGGACACAGTCCTGCCTCAGGGCCTTTGCCCTGGCCATTCCCTCAGCCTGAAACGCTCTCCCTTAGAGCACAGGACTCTCTCACCTTCTCTCAGTCTTGGCTGATGGCACCTTCTCAGAGACACTTTCCCTGACCTCCTTATTTAAAACTTTCACCTCCCTCACTCCCATTCCCCCTCCTTTATCACCATCTAAAATACTGTGTGTTTCCTTCCAACTTTGTTCAGGTTGTTGGCAGAATTTAGTTCCTTGCGGTTGTAGGGTTGTAGGATACAGGTCTCCGTTTCCTTGCTGGTTGTCAGTTGAGGATGCTGTCAACCCCTCCAGACCACCAGCAGCCGTTCTTTTGAGCTGTATTTCATTTGCTAAATTTTATTGAGTTTTTCCAACAATGTTCATAAGTGAAATTGGTTTATAATTTTCTTGTGGCAATTATAAAGAAGATTATACTTAACATGTTTTTAGTACAGATACTTATATGATGGTGATAAATGATTATCACAATAAAGTATTTTTTCTACCAAAAAAATAATATAATATAATATAATATAATAACTGTGTTTCATTCATGTAATTGGTTTATCACTCCATGAGAGCAGGTATCTTTTTTTTTTTTTTTTTAACGTCTTTATTGGAGTACAATTGTTTTACAATGGTGTGTTAGTTTCTGCGAGCAGGTATCTTTTTCAGTTTTGTTCTTCATTGCATCTACGGTACCTAGAACAGTGCTCGGCTTGTAAATGCTCAGGGAAAAATGTGATAAGTGAATACGTGAATCAGGCATATAACACACCCATTGTGGCTGGGAAAAAGAGGGGACGGTCAACAGACAATACTGACAAGGCCAGTGATCATAAAAGCAATAGTAACACCTATTAGCGTGTGGAACCCCGTGTCAGACACTGTCGTAAGTGTCTTTACAGGCATTTGCCCCCTTAGAGATCACAATGACCCCAAGAGGCCAGGGCCAGGAAGACCTCTGTACTCCCCAAATTCACGTCCTAACCAGAACCTCAGAAGGTGACCTTATTTGGAAATAGGGTTGTTGCAGATGTAATTAGTTCAGATGAGGCCACACTGGAGTCAGGTGGGCCCTAAATCCAATATGATCTGTATCCATATAAGAAAAGGAGAAGAGACACAGAGACATAGACACACGGGGAGAACGCCAGCTGGTGACAGAGGCAGAGGCTGGAGTGATGCAGTTACAAGTCAAGGCAGGCCAAGAATTGCCGGCCACCACCAGAAACTAGGAAGAGGCAAGGAAGGATTCTACCTAGCATCTCAGAGGGTACAGGGCCCTGCGGACACTTTGATCTGACTTCTAGGCTGCAGAACTGTAAGAGAAGAAATTTCTGTTGGTTTAAGCCACCTGGTTTGTGGTACTTTGTTACGGCGGCCATAGGAAACTAATACAACCCTTATTCTACAGATGGGGAAGCTGAGGCCCAGAGAGAAGCCACAGGCTCAAAGTCACACAGCAGGAAAGTGCCAGGGCTAGGACTGGAACCCAGGCCTGGCTGAATCCAGAGCCCGAGACAGAAACCTCACATGAAATTCTACTCCCCTCAGCTCCCTAGAGACCTGGCAAATCTTGAAGCCTCACTGACCTCTCTTCTTAAGTTCCCTGTGATGGGCACTTGGGTGGTCCTTATCTGGCAAAGACACAGAGTAGGTGTCCCCGTCTAGTTGGGAGGAGGGGTCACGTGCACATTCCTGCATTTCTGAATTGCGGGCTTTTTAATTTTTATTTTATTTTTATTTTTATTTTTTTTTAACATCTTTATTGGGGTATAATTGCTTTACAATGGTGTGTTAGTTTCTGCTTTATAACAGAGTGAGTCAGTTATACATATGTTCCCATATCTCTTCCCTCTTTGCGGGCTTTTTTAAGGAAGCAGGTGTTACTTTTATACTTTGAGGAGGAGGAAGAAAGGAGAAAGGGAGATGAAAAGATATAGAGAGAAAAAGAGAAGAATAGAAGTGACAGCTGGGATGAGCAAGGGAAAGAAAAGCAGATGGAGGCGGTGAGGCCAGGTTCCACAGAACCTGTGGCTGCAGAGGCCCCAAGAGGGTGCTCCGGCTCCCCGCTTGCAAGGAAGAGGCTGCCACTGGCGAGCGGGGAAGGAGGGCAAGAGGGTCCCCATGGCCAAGTATGTGAGCTGTGGGGTCTGCGCTGCCACCTCCCACCACGGATTCCCCCAGGCAAGGACTGCACCCTTCTGAGCTGCAGTTTCCCCATCTATAAGTGGGCCTCCTTTGAGTTTATTAAGAGTGTTTGCCCAGGAACGAGCCCATGGGGAAAGCGCAGCACTGTGAGTGGTTGTAGTTCTTATTACTGGGGTAGGGGCAGGTGGGCTGGGGAAAATGAGAGGACAGGGAGATTTCCCAGGGGCTCCAGGCAGGAAGACAAGAACATGAATGGGAGCGCCAGGGCACAGGTCTTGACGGGCATCCCTGGGGCACCGTCCTCTCCTCCCGGGCTTGCTGACCTTCCCAGATGAGTCTGAGGCCTCAGAGTCTCACAGCTTCCCGGGCTACCCCAAGCACAGCCCCATCATTTGCCTGGGCTTCTCCCATCCCAGCCCTGACCACCCTGGGCCATCTCCCCGCTGGGCTGGGGGCTTCCTAAGGGCCAGGCCTGCAGCTGCCTGACGACTGCCACGTCCATAGCACCACCCAGCACAGGGCTGGACACGGAGTCAGCTGAGCGCTTCCTCTGTGTTAGCTGTCCTTGCTCTACCTGTGTGTGACTCAGTGGGCACCAGGAGATTCTCGCCAAAGGAATATCTAAAGAAGCCAGTGGAGAGAGGCTGCGGGGCTGACCCACGTAGAACTCCTCCCTCTCTGCACAGATTAACCCACAAAGGCTCCCAGATGGGGAGAGCCCTGGCAAGGGGCCAAGGGCAGGGCTGGAACTCGCTTCCATCACCTGTAGATGGATCCTAAGGGGCAGGTGAGCCACGCAGATCCCAACTTCTCACTGAGCTTGAAGTTGTCAAAAGTGACGTATTCCACGTTTGATGACGTGCACTGGACGTGGCAGGCTTCCACCTGCATCTCAGGCCGCATGCGACTGGACCACAGATTCACATCTCCCAGATAGAGCCAGCAGGGCATGGGCGTTTCCAGGGGCTCCTCGATGTAGCAGTACCCCAGGCGTTTGCGCTCACCTGGCTCCCCACAGCGGTTACAGTCCTGCCAGGGCTCCCAGTGGGTGAAGATGAGCTCCTTGCCACCCAGACTCAGGGTCTCATTCTGCAGGGGCTCTTGGCCCAGGCCTTTGTGTGTGATATGTATGGTTTCAATATCCTGGAAGTCAATTTCGTACTGTACCACCTTCCTGCCACCCTTGTCCTGGCAGTTGTAGAAGCCTGTCTGCAAGGGCAATGGATTTCTAATGAGAAGCCTGCCATCGGGCATTGTTTCCATGTTGGAGTTAGTGAAGGGGTTGTTGGTCCAGGTGGTCTTGACTGGCAGGAAGAATTGCCACTGTGCCTCAGAGGCATTGCAGTGCAGGAAGATATCATTGTTTGAGAGTAGGGCCAGCTGGCAATGCTGATTAGGACAGCTGATGGAAAAGTGTGACCTCAGCACCGGGACAGCAAAGCTGAGCAGCAGCCACAGGGTGGTCAACATGGTGGACTGGGACTGTGGCAGTGGGCTGGGCACCACCCTGGACTTTGTGAGGTCATCCATGAAACTCAAGTCTCAGCCTTGGGCAGCAGGATGAACTGTAGCCCACCCCCATGGGATGTGAGGTCACAATTCCCACATTTGTTCTGTGACAAGTTAACAATCTTATTTCATTTCTGTGATAAGCCTTCCACTCTGCTTGGTCAGCAGGACACTTAATTTGTCTATTCAGGGTTTTCTCTACCATGCCCCAACTTTGGTGTTAAAGTGTCACATGTGAACATTCAACACATTTTTTCTGAACACCTACTATGTTCTGAGCACACTTCTTAGTACTAGGGATGGAGAGGTGAATAAATCCTCTCTGGTTCCCTTCTGACATCCTACGCTTCCCCACCCAACTGCTCCAGCCATGCTGGCCTCCCTGCAGTCCCCTGAACATATCAGGCAAGTAAAGAGCTCCTGCCTCAGGACCTTTGCACATGCTGGTCCTCCCACAGATATCTGCATGACTCAATTCATTTTAAACAAACAAATATTTTTCTCAGTTGCCCACTTCCCAAACCCTTTCCTAAACTTCTTCTCAGTTCTCAAATTTAAAATAATTATGGGACTTCCCTGGTGGCACAGTGGATAAGACTCCATGCTCCCAATGCAGGAGGCCTGGGTTCGATCCCTGGTCAGGGAACTAGATCCCACATGCATGCCACAACTAAGGAGCCCGCATGCTGCAACTAAGGAGCCCACAGGCCGCAACTAAGGAGCTGGCGAACCGCAACTAAAGAGCCCCCCTGCTGCAACTAAGACCCGGTGCAACCAAATAAATAAATAAATATTAAAAAATAATTATTGTGCAGGCTTGACCTGCCATTGTTCACTCATTTCACAAATGTTTACTGAATGCCTACTATGTGCTGGTTGGTATTCTAATCAAAGCAGTGAACAGTTTAGACAACTGCCCTCCTTGAGCTTACCTTCTAGTGGAAGAGACAGATAATAAACATAATGTCAGATACAGTAGATTCTCATTATTCATGGAAGTACGTTCTATAAAGTCGCTGAATTACAAGATAATGAAACAGTGGTCCTAGGAGAAATACAAAGCTAGGGTCCTATAAGCCTTTGGTCACAGTATTTTTGTCAGCTGATCAACACATAACCTTGTTTCATGTATGTTTTTGTTTAAAGGCACAATATATACTGTTATTTCATTAACACTGAAGTTGTAGCCAACAGCCCTGTAACTCATGCCTGAACAAAGCTAACCTAACATCATAAGGCACTTAGGTAACATTTTAGCACCATGCTTGGGAGCCATTTTAAATAGCAAAATCACCAATAGCACAAAAATGCAAAAAACATGGCACTAAATAGACCATGAAAAGGATACTTGCTAACACAGTATGGGAGCTAAAACAAGAAGGCAGAGTGTCAACTTGTTTGGCCTCAGCTGGGAATGCTCATTGTTAGGTGACTCAATTTTCTCACCACTCTGTGCATGTCTGCAAATGACTATGAGAGCACTGAGGGTATTGGCTTGGGGGTTACAAATAAATTTTAGTGAGTAGGTGAATTCACAAGTGTGAAATCCTTGAATAATGAGGATCAACTGTAATAATTGTTAAAGAGAAAAATAGAGCAGGGAAATGAGGATGGAAAGTAAAATGTTGGTGTGTGGGGATGGGCTATTTTAGAGGGGATGAGCAGGCCTGTCTGAGCATTCTCTGAGGAGGGGAACTTTCCCAAACACCTAAGTGAGGTGAGATAAAGAGCCATGTGGGTATTTGAAGGAAGGATATTTCCAGGAGAGGGCTGGACCCTGACATGGCTGCCTGACTAGTATATGTAAAGAGTATGGAGGCCAGAGTGACTAAGGAGGAAAGGACAAGGGGTAGAGTGCTGAGTGGGTGAGGTCAGAGGTTCATCTAGGTCTTTGCTAAGATATCCTGCCTTCCTCTACCTGGCTTCTAATGGCTGGGGGCTCTCTTGGTCATGCCCCTACCCCATGTGGGGGTTTTACAGGCTATGTTTGGCATAAGCTGTACGCTTACGTTATCTTGCTGCCACCCTCACCCCTTCTGCTCTCAGGTCTACAAAACCATCTAGAGTTTTTTTTGTTTTTTGTTTTTTTGTTTCTGTTTTTTTTTTTTGCAGTACGTGGGCCTCTCACTGCTGTGGCCTCTCCCGTCGCGGAGCACAGGCTCCGGACGCGCAGGCCCAGCGGCCATGGCTCACGGGCCCAGCCGCTCCGCGGCATGTGGGATCCTCCCGGACTGGGGCACGAACCCGTGTCCCCTGCATCGGCAGGCGGACTCTCAACCACTGCGCCACCAGGGAAGCCCCATCTAGAGTTTTTGTCTGCTTCCCAGAACTTTATAAAGACCCTCTGTCTGAGACATATTAACATTTATACCCCTATTGCTTCCCCCCATCTCTCTCCCTCTCTGTCTCTCTCCTCAGCCCAGGGAATCTTTTCTAAACAAGTAAACAGGGCTATGGGGACACTGTGAGAAAGCTCACTTCCAACTTTCACTTTATCTGGGTGAGAAGTCACACTAGCTGGAGCCAGCCTGAAGAAATGTTTTAACTGGCCTCCCTAAGGTGTTTTTAGAATATTTAAATCTGTGACCAACATGTAAAATCCAAGACATTTCACATGAGACTCCAAATTCCCTGCTATTCTTTAAATAATATGTGTGAGATTTCTGCTCACTGCTACATTTGAGTAGCTTATATCAGACTGCCCTCTTGCTAATAACAAGTATAGACTTTAAGATAAAGTCTACACTTAGATTAGTACGTCTAAGAGATGACAAGATGAGGATTTTGAATCTATATAGAAGAATCAAATGGAAACACTAGAATAAAAAAGTAAAATTTGTGAAATTAAGGATTCACTAGGTGGGGTAACAATCTTTTGGACACAATAGAAGAGAGTAAATGAAATATGGGTTCATAGAGAATATCTATACTGAAGCATGCTAAGGAAAACAATAGGAAAATACACAAAAGAGTGTCAGAGACATGGGACATGGTGAAAAAGTCTAACATTTATGTAAATGGAGATTCAGAAGAAAAGGAGAGACAGGAACATAAGTAATACTTGAAGAGATACTGAATGAAAATATTCCAAAACTGATGAAAGACATCAAGGCACAAATTCAAGAAGGTCTTCAAACTCCACACAGGATAGATAAATAAATAGATATCAAAAGCAAAACAAGACAAAAAATAATACCACACCTAGGCAATTTATAGGAAAACACTGCAGAAAACAAAAGAGGAAATTTAAAAAATGGCCATAGGAGAAAAAGATACACTACTTTTTTTTTTTTTTAACATCTTTATTGGAGTATAATTGCTTTACAATGGTATGTTAGTTTCAGCTTCACAACAAAATGAATCAGTTATATATAAACATATGTTCCCATATCTCTTCCCGCTTGCGTCTCCCTCCCTCCCACCCTCCCTATCCCACCCCTCCAGGCGGTCACAAAGCACCGAGCTGATCTCCCTGTGCTATGTGGCTGCTTCCCACTAGCTATCTACCTTATGTTTGGTAATGTATATATGTCCATGCCTCTCTCTCGCTTTGTCACAGGATACACTACTTTCAAAGCAACAATCATAACACTCTACATTGACTTTTAAACAGACATAATGAAAGTTAGAAAGACAATGGAATGACATCTTCAAAACACTAAAAGCAAATGACTGCCATCTGGAATTCTACGTATAGAATTCTATATACAATGAAAATATTCTTCAAAGATGGAGGTAAAAAATAAAGATACTTTCAGATGAAAGCTGAGAGAATTCACCACAGCAGAGCACATTAAAGGTAATACTAAGGAGAATTCTCCAGGCAGCAGGAAAATGGTCCCAAACGGAAGCAAGGTAATACAGGAATGAAAAGCACCAGAAGAATAAATATGTGGTTAAAACTAAATTAATATTCAGAGTGTTTTAAAATAATGTCTTGTGGGGTTTAAAATATATGTAAAATAAAAATACCTGATAACAAGAGTACAACAAATGGAAGGGGAGTAAATGGAGCTAAAAGGTCGTAAGGTCTCTGCATTGTCTAGGACATGGTACAAGTACAAATTTATATTAGATTATAGTAAGTGAGAATTAATGTAAGCTCTAGAGTAAATGAAAAAAGAATGCATATCTAATAAGTTAACAGATGAGAAAATGGAATGACAATTTAAAAAAATACTCGGTGAATTCAAAAGCAAGAAAAGGCAAAATAACTAAAGAAGAGACAGAACGAGTAGAAAACAAATAGGAATATGGTAGATTTAAACCCAACTAAATCAGTAATTACATTAAAAGTAAATGAACTAAATACTCCAATTAAAAGACAAAGATTTTCAGACTTAATACCAAAACAAAAATCTAAATATATATTGCTTAAAAGAGATTTACCTTAAACAAAAGAATATAGAAAAGTTGAAAGTAAAAACATGGGAAAATGTCATGCAAACATTAGCTAAAAGAAAAGTGGTGTAGTAGTTATACCAATAACAAAAGTAGATATAAGGGTCAAAGTATTAATAGAGACTTGCAAGAGACATTTTATAGAATGTCAATCCAACTGGAAGATACAGTGACATCCTAAGTTTGTATGAACCTAAAAGTATATAAAGCAAAACCTGATAGTACTAAATGTTGAGATAGACAAATCCACAATTAAACATGCAAACAAAAATTTAGGAGCGATATAGAAGATTTGAACCATATGATATAAACTTGACCTAATTCATATATATGGCACTCTGCACTTAACTTCAGAACATACATTCTTTTCACATTCATATGAAATATTTTCCAAAATTGACCATATTCTAGGCCATAAAACAAGTCTCAATAAATGTTAAAGGAATAGAATCACATTTTTTGGTCAGTGGAATTAAGCTAGACACAAATGACAAAAAGACAACAAAGAACGTCCCCAGATATCTGAAAACTATACAATGAAATGTCTAAATAACTAATAG